AGCATACAGCTGTTGAATGAGGTTGATAAATGTTTGTGGCACTAAAACCGTAATGTTGAAGCAGCTCTCTGCAAAATCATTTCTCGGTCGACGCTGTTGAAGGCCTTTTCAAAATCGATGAAGTTGAGGTTGAGTTGAGTTGACTGCCATTCTGTGCTTATGATGATGTGTAGCGTAGTGTTGTAATTTGATGCACACATGATTTATTCTTCCTGAAGCCAGCCAGCCCGTTTCGGTCATAATTTTGAATGCAGAGCATTTTTTAGTCTCTCCAGGATGATGAGACTTAGTATTTTGCTTGGGGTGGATAGGAAGGTGATTCGGCGCCAGTTCTTGCAAATACTAAGGTCGCTCTTCTTTGGAAGTTTGACAAAATAGCGCTTCTTCCAATCAGTCAGCAGGTACCTTTCCTCCCTTCCAAACCTTCTGCAATAGGAGTGATGTGAGCATTCCACTGTTGTCTCTGTGTCTGATTTTGGTGTTTGTGGTGGAATTTCATCTGGCCCTGTTGCTTTCCCGGATTTCAGCAACATTATGGCATTCAGGACTTCTGCTTTGTTCCTATGGTCTGTGTTCACTGGTAGTTCTGCGCTGCTGGTGGTATTTTCGGACGAGTTGCAGATGGTGGTGGTGGTGGTGGTCGATTCAAGAGTTTATTGGAGTGGTCAGTCCATCATTACCTTCCTTTCTCCATTCTGGTAACCAAGTTTCCCTAACAATCTTTTATTGGCTTCATCTGTATTGATCTCTTCCCTCACAGACAGTAACCTGGTTATTTGATATAACGTTGTCAGGTCTCTGTGTCTCCTACCAGCAGCCTGTTCTGCTTCACTTGCCAGTGTGTCGTAGAAGTGTCTTTTGTCTTTGTGTGCACTCTTCTTCACTTCTTTGTCCAGTGTAGTGTTTTATAGGTTGTGTTCAGTTCCTCTTTTCGTTGTTCATCCTGCACTGCACTGCACTGGTTCATCTTCTGCTTCGCTCTCTCCCTCCTCTATCAGCTTCCATCTATCCGTGGAGATATATTCATTATCCTGTTTCTTCTTTCTTCCTTACATGGTTATGCAGGTTTATTTCCACACCTCTTTCAAAGATTTCCAGTATTCTTCCACGCGAATTGCTTCTGGGATGTTCACTATCTTGCATTTTGTCCTGATGACTGACATGAAGATGTCCTTTGTAGTTTCGTCCTTCAGTGTCTTTTATTGTGGGTGTTGAACTTGAACTGTGGTCTATCACCAACGTTTTTCGAATTTAAGGCTTTCAACTTGATTTTGAAGGTATGTTCCTTGCACTAGATAGTGGTCTGAGCCCACATCTGCATCTCTTCTTGATCTGACGTTGTGTCAAGTAGGCTGGCTGCGTCTCCACTTTCGTGGGACTGAGATAAAGTCCATCTGATTTTTATCGTAGTGTGTTCATGTGGTGAAATCCATGTCGCTTTGTGAATATCCTTATGATGGAACACAGTGCTTGCTATCACCGAATCGTTGAATACACAGAATTCTGCAAGCAGTTCTCTATTCTCTTTCATTTCACCGAGTGCTTGCCGACCTATGGTGAGTTCTCTTCCTGTGTTGTCTGCTCCCAGAATGGCACTCATGTCGCTCATCATAATTTTGGTGTCGTCGTTGCCGTCTGTGGTCTTGTCCAGTACTGATTGCAGTTGTCTGTAGAATTCCTCCTTCTTCTCTTCATCTGCATGATTTGTAGGTGCATAGCGTAGCATTGTACGATTGTGACTTTCCTTCCTTCCTTTTGAGTTGAATCTTGCTCTCATGATCCTGGAGGAGACTCGTGGTTGTGGTCTGGGTGATAATATGGGAGTAGATTATTGACTCCTCTCCAGTTGACAGTTTGGAGAGTCCACTTCCACTCCATCTTCTTTCACAGATTCCCAGCACTTCTGTGCCACACCTTCTCATCTCTTTTGCACCCTGGGCAGCGTTGCTAGGTTCAAACATACTGCGGACATTCCATGTCCTCATGTTGACTTTCGCTTTCATCGAGAGAAGACACATTGGTCAATTGGCTTCCTGGAGTCTCTTACTGGCCGTCGTCATTTCGCCTCTCGGATTCCAGGAAGGAATAATTTTGTTCTTGTTGTTGATATTTTGTTTTTGCTTTGAAGATTATTTCGCGTTGGGTTGGTTATACGGGGAGGGTAGCTATCCCTCTGTCCAACCTTCCCTCTTTATCCGGGCTTAGGACCAGCTGATAACTAGATAACTAGGCGATGTTATTGACAAAAGTGGGACTAATGAAGTTCACTTTGTTCGCAAGTTTCTCGGTCATATGGGGCCGACATTTATGCGTTGCATCATATCTGATAACTTCACTGAGAGAAAAGCATATACCTACCTATTGAGGATACCCACCTCAATAATGGGATCGGAGAAGTCAGCTAAAATAAAATGCGGTTTGTTAAATGGTTTCAGTCTCTGCTAAAACTTGTAGGTCACTGGAATAGAAACAAGATTAGGATTTCGCCGTTAAAAAATATGACGAAGAACGGGAAAATACCACTCTACGAAAGGATACATGAACGGAAATCTGGCCATTGGACAAAACAGGTATCAGGCAATCAGGATCTCAAAGTGCAGTCAGAATTCTGATACAACATAACCAATAAAACTAGGAAATGGAAATATTTTCGAAGAAATAATTTGTTGCGAGCAGTTCACAGCATCAGGCGAAAGTGTTGGGAGCCGAACTTTCATCTGTTATAAAAATATTAGACAGATACGTTGCAAAATTCATAGAATTTTATTGAAAATAGGCATACAGAGATTTCGTCAGAAAATATACCAAACCATTGACTGATTATACAGCACATCATTTCTCATTAAGACTAGTCCAGTCTTCTAACATTCGAGAACTTTTCGTATCCGCTTGGTCTGGACTATCTCACCCCTCGCTCAGAATTAATTAACCAAGGAAATTGCCTTTCTCAAACCTTCTTCTACACCTTTCTATGCCTTTACGACAGGGTTTGGGGCAGGAACTGCCAATTTTTAGTCCTTCTCACCTTCAGCAGATCACTAAAATACTATGAAATCAATAAAGTCTAAAGTTCAAATCATAAAATTATTCAATTGAATTTATCCTTTCATAGTAGGCTCCGCAGTGGGATCTTATGACCAGGTATCGGTGAGCAATGCCTAATTAGGCATATCATTGTTTCATGGTATCAAAGATGCATACCGTCTAACCATCTTAACGGTCAGAGATAGCTGTGATTAGGTAGACTTGTTTTGTTACAGGGGGACGATCGAGGGTGAAATCAAAACTTGGACCACAACAGGATTCGAACCGGAGACCACCGAGTTGTGGGTCTATTGTTAGATCTGTTCTACATGAGAGAATCGGAGACTTCTCTACCTTCTGGTCACTTGATGAGTATGAACGTCTTATATTCAAGCATTTTCGATGAATCATCGAAATAATGTTTACATGCATTCCGGATAATACCATGTATGCTGTTCCTTCAACAACCTTGATTATGACTTAGGATTTGTCCTGACGCGAACTTGACAGACGCAAAGATCAATCACTAATTATTCGGACTTGTTGCATACCCACGAATACGGGACCAGGGAGGAACACGATAGCGTAGTCGGATGGAATGGTATATTTGGATGGTTGTGCCAAGATACCGATACGTTCCAACTAACTGGCTAGAGAGTCGAATACGAGCAGTGCAACGTAACACGACAGCGTGCCAAATGGCGAGGATGCTTGACCGGGTGCCTTCAGCTTAGCGAATCCAGCTAAACTATCAAGGTCAGAATCGACGTTAAACGTCGTCAAACCCTAGGCTATTGATTTTGGGGAAGTGTGTGGCGCTACAATGACTTTACGAGAAGGACTCACTGCTAAACGCCAAATATTTCATCTTAAAGCCCCAGACTTATAAGGTATAAAAGTGCTGGAAGGTGCAGCGTAGTCCATACCTAAAAGTCATTGAAATTACTTGGTGAACTCACTTCGTTCACTCATGTCTCCATCGCATGAGTTTCCTTGATCCGTGAACAAATCACTGTGATGTTTTTCCTGCCCCTTTAATCCCAAGGTGCACCAGTCATACTTTGTTTCTCACTGTGACTTCTCAGAAATGTTCAGGCCTCCTGGCTCTACGTTTTCACAAAACCTGTCGAATAATAAAGTCTTCCACGTAATGCTGCACGCCTGGCCGCCGACTGCTACTTCTACATGACAAGTGCAAATTCATGAGGGCTCTTTCTCACTTCCACTATTACTTTACACTCTTAATTAAAAAACTAGCATATGTGACTGATGTAATTCTTTTAAACTTTATCCACTATGACTATGTGGTAAAAGAATGATAATGCCCTTGACATTGTCATTTGGTTTATGTAATCACTGCAATCTGAAAGTAACTAGCTCTTGTGGCCATTATCATACCGGACGAATAAGAAAAACGTTTTGAGATACACTGACAGCCTACTGTAGTAAGGCTTTTGGTTGATATCTATCCACCAGAGCAACTGTCCATGGTATCTATAGCCCACCTTTGTATTCAACACCCGGTAATCTGGAGATGTGTTTGGGGACGATATCAAACAGTTCCATATTACCGTTGACAACTGCATACAATATGTCCGGTGAACATTCTAAAAGTATGACATCCTTTCAAACTCCAAAAAAGGGCTGCTGATGGGTTTAGATGATATTTGTGGTTATAGAAGTATGCATTATTGTTATGGAGCTAACCATTTCCTCAAAGATTCCTTAAACAAACCCTACTTCCTTTGAAAACCACAACCTAAGACTACATGTAAAACACTCGTGAAAGGTGATGTCCTCATATGTGTGAGCTTAACATTAGGTAATCGGACTACATCCATAAGGGATGTCATTTTGGGAAAGTATGGAAAACTTTAAAGTCTCTGTAAATATGTATGTACCGTTAAATTTTGCGCGCCTTTTGACCAGGCAACAAACCTTTTGTCATCTTACCATTGTTTCCTATTTTCCAGGGACTGAGGGTGAAATCTGGAGTTTATTGTTCCTGAGCTCATACCTGAATGAGACACTGGGTTTATATCAGGTATGTAGTGACAACACTGGTGTGGTGGTTGAATGCGTATCACGCTTGCCTTTATCAGTTTGGAAAGATGAGTGCTTGAGATACATACACGGCATCAACGGAATACAGGATGCGTCTTACGAATAATTTCGGGTCTTGTACCAGTAAATATATGGATGCTGATTTGTTAAAATTTCTGTGATCTTCATGGTGCCCATCATCAATAAAGGTTTGAAAACTTTAGTAGATAGCAAAAAAGAGTGGATCACTACTCCTGACATTGTAGTTACTTGGTCACACATGGTTACGATTAGTTTCGCTGTTCTCATGGTATTAAACATTACGTGTTGGATAGCTGAAAAAAGTTGGTCTTTGTGGTGTAAAAAGATCAACTTCAAGACATCAGGGTTGGCTTACTTTCATCAGTTCTTTGTGGTTTCCGGAGTCAGGTTGCACATAGTGCTAGCTGCTTAGTACATGGTTCCATCCTATTATTCCGGTATTCATGAAAGAATAAAGCATCCTGTTCATGAAATTTAGCGTTGTATGTAAATTATACCCAGTATTTTCAACATTATTCTCACATGGTCTTGTCACTATCCGCGTTATTTCATCTTCATTTCAGAATAGGTCTCACATTGCCTAAGCACTTTTACTGCACTCCCTGCTCTTACTTTATCCATTGGTTGCATTTACATTTCATAGATCTCATGACTGTCATTTGTTTCTTCCTGACTGCTGGGAATACTTATACCAAGTCAAAATTTTGGTGGGAAAAAAAGAGGGAAAAATTTGTGGCCACAAAATACCTTGTCTTCAGAGGTACACTAGTTGCCACTTAACAGTAGTCTAAATTTTAAGTGGATAAATTCTTGAATTTAGGTTGGGAATTCTTCGCAGCTGCAGATAACATAATTTAAGTGCAGCTTAAAGAGGTCCTTATTTTGTGGTCCCTTTAACAGTATTGCACCCCATAATACATTTACTCCAGATATTATGCAAAGGTATGTTACATACTATTATAATTCTGATACAAGTGTACTTGTAGATGGAGGAAAGCGTCTCCTGAACCGAAGTTCACCATTTCGTCGGCGTACGAAAGTGGATGATGAGATTATGAAGGACGTCTTATGTATTTTACAACAGGAGCTTTCATAAGTACACCGATATCATAGGTTTTCCCAACCGAATTATTACAGTGAACTGATTGAATATCTGGGCTACTAAATTTTCCATCTGTCATACTGCATCAAATTTTAACAGGTTGTTTCGTTTTAATCATTCTATTATATCCTCTGATCACATTGTATATTCGTGCACACTTTTAAATACCTTACGGCCTTTGCGATGCCAGTATCACATAAGATGAGGAAAAAGCATCACGGCGGATGACAACGTGCTTTGAAGCGAATAACCTTATCTCAAATGACTGTCTGAAATTATAAGCAGAAACTGGAGGTCACTGCAGGGAAAAACAGATTACTTACAGTCCCTTTTATCCTCCGATGTGTATCGTAATGCTAGAGTAATTACACTGCAAGAAACTGATGATGATGATTTGACTTGTTTGAATGATTTCAAGATCGATGTGGTTCTACTAAGGAAAGTGGAAGTGGAGTAGATACCTTCATCAATACCCATTGATGCATTTCGAGTGAAATTTGCTTCAACTTCTCTGATGACCACATAGGTTGCATCATTGTAAAATGCCGCTCAAAAACATTTGAAAAATATCGCTTTATTTATACAACAAATATTTGTGTGACGCCTGGTTGTAGTTTCTGCGAACTATCCAAATTATCTGATATATTCCCGGAATTCGCAGCCTCCATATTCTGTGGTTCCCCGTCGATAATATGTGGCGGTTTCAATTCTTGTGACCACCGCTTTCTCAAAACTCTTGGTCATCAAATGATTGTTAACTTCACAACATCCCAGGATGCAACGCTAGACTTGGTATTCGTCAATAATACTGATATACACGAAACTCGAAAGAGATCCCCACTGCTCAGCTCGGAGCATTGTGTTATACGTGTTTTGCCCGAAATATATGGCAAACTTCACAAAAAAGCTTTCACAAATGAGAGGATTGTACATAGAAACTATTCACTTAGTAACATATTTAATCTAATAGAAATGCTTCAATGTGCAGACTGGAATATATTTGACAGCGGTGATTTGAATGATACTATTGGTGGTGTAACGTGCTATCTCAAGTTCTGCGTAGATACATGTTGCCCTAGTGAAAAGATTTTTCTGCGCTTCTCTCTCCTCTCCTCAGCTTAGGAAACTAAGAAGAAAAAAGAAAGACTATATAAATTTAGTAATAATGCTGGTGCTCGTCGATTGAACGTTTTAATTGGGTTGGGAATGAAATGTATGAGTCTACTATACAACCAAAAACTTTTGTCATGCAAAGTTTCTTCCAGCATGTGAAAACTTTTTGAAGTCCTCAATGGAAGTAAACACCTTAGCAAAGAACCTTATGTCGATATCTGTGCCTTGAACAAATCATTTTTACGTTAACCCACTTGTTCGACCCTACTATGTCTACCTGTATCCAATGAAGAACACTGTTCAGAGTTCACTGCGAACGATATTTTCAAATATCTCAAGTCCCTAAACCCTTCTCACAGTTCAGGTCCGGATCGTATGTCAAACTTCGTACTCACGAAATGTGCTGATATTTTATGCTATCCACTAGCTAACATGTTCAACAGATCTTTTTTAGAAAACAGCATACCAGCTGCCTGGAAGGATATTAAGATAGTCCCCGTGCCTAAGTCTAGGACTCCAGGTGCATGTACAAAATACCGTCCGATTGCACGTACACCTCCATTCTTAAAAATAATGGAAAGGCTTACAATACCTGTGCTCGAGCCCTCACCGAAGGCTATCGGAGACCCTAATCGATTTGCGTATGAAAGCAGAAGTACTTTGGATGCCACCACACTTTTATATCACTATATCAATAATGGTCTTGATAAAAATGCTAAGTATATCAAGTGTGCCTTTTTAGACTGTACTTTGGCATTTGACTCATTCCCAAGACCTCTTTTGCTGGATAAGCTTACCAGGAAAAATACTGAGTTCTGGGTAATCAGCTGGCTGCATTCCTATTTCTCTGATAGGAAACAACATACTGTTCACAGATGAAAGCGCCCCACCTCATTACGTATTGTGGCTGGTGTTCCGCAAGAAACCATCCTTTCCCCAAGTCTTTTCTCATTTTTTCTGCATGACCTGCCATCTTCAGCTGGTATCAGTTTCACTAGATACGCTGATTACCCAACAGTTTCCATATCTATCTCCTTTTCAGCAGATTGCTCCCGACTGAATGACTTCATACCTAATGTTAGACGGTAGTCCTTCGGAAATGGTCTTATGCTTAATTCTTCAAAGTGTCAGACCATAAACTTTAGTTTTAGATGTGAACATAACTTGTGTAAACTGCTTAGTTCTCATAATTTTTAATTTATTGATAGTTGAGCATTAGAGAATGTTGCGAATGTGACTAATCTTGGTGTGTTTTTCTTCGAACCTTTCCTGGTCTTCTTATATCTCACTAATTTCCAAAAGAATTTTTCGCCTAACTTGCTATGTTAGGAAGTTGAGAGTATCTAGTACTACTCAGCCTTTTCTCTTATGTTTTATAAAGTCCTCTATCTTGCCTGTCATCCTCTATTGCTTCCCTTTATTTTTCCTGGGTTGTTGAAGAAAAACTATGCTATATTGCGTAGAGCTTTAAAGATTGTCGGCAGAACTAGTGGTGTACCCTTTAACCTTCTAGTTAAAACTGTTGTGGATAAACATATTAACTGATATTGAAATCTGGCTGGAGTTGTTTTATCAGATGACCAATATCCTCTTCACTCGAAGTTCTCTACGTCCGTGTCATCTGAAGAGACGAGGAGCAATTACATAAGACTCTATGCTCGTACTAAAAAACATAAAAACTCTACTATACCCTATTTAGCTCGTTTGATGTTTGGTGAAGAAAGTATTAGAAACGAACTGACTAATCAACTTCTGTTTTTGAAAGCAAATTAACTGAAGATGAGCGTGTTACTTTTTACATATTATGAACCTAATTGTCAGTGTGATTGTATACCTAAGCTGACTGTGGATTTTGAACAAAGTTGTAGATAGAGTAAATACTTTTATCTTTTCCTCGTGTAATTTCTACTTATTTTCATTTTGCTATGTTCATACATTTACTGTCTTTATCCAACTGATGCTATATGACGTGCTGAAAATTCTGTAGAGTATCCCTGAAATAGCTTTCAGAATAAAGCTGTCATTACTATTTTCATCATTTATTATTATCAAACGTTATACCCCATGTCACCTGTTACATCCTCAATTACGGTGAATTCATAGCTTCACTGTGAACACATTTTTCCTTATAGCCTTTACTGCAGCCCTCTACAAGAAACTGGGTTTTCTAAAGCTGAGGGAGAAAGTATGATGGATAAGTTCACTAACCTTTTGTAAAACACCTACAGGCTACGTGAAGAAGGTGGAGAAACAGGTACAAGTCATTATTCGTTTGTTAAGGTGTCATTAAGCCTCAGTTGTTCAAAAAATCCTGGTTGATACTGGTCTGCGCGTAACATTCGCTGAGGGACTGAAAACACTGGAAATGAAACTTGCTCAAGAAGATTTCCGTAATAGATTCGTAATTGCCTTGATAAATGCTTTATATAAAGGATCTCAAATAATCCTGAAACCAGAGAGCTCATATATGAATACTTCATTAAGCATCGACGACAGTCCTCTTAAAGCGGAGAAGCTTTCTATAATAAAGTGAGATATATTTCTCTTGTATCGTATCCAGTGATAACTATTTACATTTCATTTTTAAAGCTGCTAGTGTAGGTTTAAAAAGCTTCATATTTCCTAATTACACCTCACTGATTGTGCAAGGAAGTGTTTAATTTCTTGGCTATTTTTATGCCGTTCTGATGTTTTGCTTCTGAATAAGTGACCTATTTGATATTTTGTATTTCATTTTAAGAAAGCCAGCTGGACATCTTTAACAGAACCAAACCACTAAGATTATGTGCGTTGAACAGCATCAAATTAAACGCTTGCTGGTCACCAAGCGCTGTCATGGATAGTTTACAAGAGCAGAAATCGTCTGGCTGTCATACATTTACACATTATCTAAAACTGAGGGATGATTTTTTTTATTGGTATTGTGCATTCAAGTACATCAATAACTATGTTGGTGGGAAACATGAGTCTGGAGTATGGCATACTGTGAATGTGGTACAGGGTTGGTTGAAGACAAGCCTAATTTACATCTGTTTACTAGTTAAAAAGTGGAAATTCACAGCACAGAGCTTTCGAAAACTCAGGTAAAGATCTCTCTTACTTATCTACATCTCTGCCTTTTTTCTTAAAATAAATGCGAAATATTCAGCTTTCCTTCTATACCAAGTTTCGAAATATTGCTGATCAGGTACTTAACACTGCAATTTTTTAATGACTTGGTTGTAATTACTTTATTCCAAACAATATTTTTGATACAATATAGAGTTCTCAGCCTGTAACAAATTAACAAATTTATTTCCAAACAAGATTTTCCAACGAAATGATAATGACGTCTGAATGGTGTCCGTAATAAAAGCATCAGAGGTAATAATGTGAAGCAGCCGGTTGGTGCTGAATTATCGTCCAGAGTTTAGTGGTGGTGGTTCATTCAGACAGCGGAAGAATTTACTTTTCGAGATAGGTATCTGAAGAATAGAAATTTGGTGTATTTTTATGCACTCAAAACTCTGTTTCCGTCTAATGTGACATCTTCCCTACGTTTTGTTATTAATTCGATAAATGACTGGTTCAGAACATTGTAAAAATCCCCAAGAGTACGTAATATGCTTAGAGGACATAGTTAAGAGAGTAAAGCAAGCTGACTGGGAGGAATTTATATAATACGTCTGATGGAAAATTTGATTGGTAGCCCAAAGTTCAAGCAGGCAGCCATTAATGCAGAGATTTATCTCAGCGGGATCAGTTGTATGTCATCTGTGGTTACTTGAATGAAGCTTTCATTCGAAACAAACAGTCATTCATCTTGTTTTATTTCTTCTTAGATAATGAACTTCGTCATTGGCTTCTAGACTTAAAGTGTTTGTTTTAGAATACCTATGACCATTTGGTTACTGACCGTAAGTAACTGCAACTGTGGAGATACTAATAAGATCGAAGTATTGGAGGATGCATCGCCGTATATCTGATATGCTTGGTTTCTTCGGATCAACATTCACTTGGTGATGAATTTCAAAGATGTTTGTTCTGTTTCTCCACTTTCATTTTAACTTCCGAAACAGTTTAGTTTTTATTCATTTATTTTTCTCGTTTTTCGGAGTATGTATTCATATTTTGAAGAAGCCATTTATAGGAGTTATGAAAAAATATTCTCCAAATAGTAACAAAATAAATTATTGAACAATAAAAATCATTAATATGGCCTGGTATGCACGGAAAACATTTAAAAATGATAACCAACAAAAAAGATTACTTATGATCGTATAAAAGAATTTCGGAAATATACCCTGATTCTGATGGGGAGCAAATCGAAATTCGGATAAGTTATGCAAAGTTAAAGGGAGTAAGGTCAACTGTACATCAGAGCATACTCATACATACAGATATCAGATTGAATGTCCTTAAAGTCCTGTGTTGTCGACTCTTCGCAAATATGTATGCTAAGGTTGGGGATATAAATAATCTTGTTGAAACTCCTGTTTATCTATACATTTTACTCTGAGACTTGAAGATTAGGAAAGTCAGACACAGATGTACATCTGATATGACCTCTTCAAACACCACTTTAGCTATATGAATAAGTTCTGAGTTAATGCTTAGCTAATTTCTGATTGCCTCTAGTTCCAAATCCACAGATTAAAAGAACCGATTGGAATTAATTTGTTAATAACAACAATAATCGTTTTATTCCAAACAGTATGTATGTCAGTATGGAGCTTTCAGCACATAATTTTTCAAAAAATTCACTCTCAGAACAATACTTGCAGAGGAAACGGTTATTGAGTGGCAATGATATTGATAAGAACAGTATTTAAGCAATAATGTGAAATAGCTAGCTGGTTCTGAATGGGCAGCCGGTCCATAATGAAGGGTGAACAGAAATGCAAACGTAATTTTGGTGGTGGCTGCTCATTCAGACGATACAAAAATCTGCAACTCAAGCTAAGCACCTGACAGATAGAAATATGATGTGCTTTTCTGCACCGAAAAGTCCATTTCCATATAACGTAACATCTTTTCTCTGGTTTGTTATTAACTTAAGAAACGGAGAATAGGAAACAGTTTAAAGATGTGCAAGAGTACATGACACGTTCAAAGGACATATTTAGACGACTAAAACAAATTGAAAGGAAAGAATTTGATGAGAAATGTTAGGTGCATAAACTTGGTAGCCCAAAGTTAAAGCAGGCCGCCGTGAATGCAAGTAGATTACCAGAACATGGAAAATTAACCAAACTCAAAATGAAAGACCCCACTAAGAACAATAATCTAGAAAAATGGCTTGCCTATTGAACACGCACTGACGGACGACAATATGATTAAATGCTACAAAGTTACTGTACCAAACGCAAACAGTTAGACGGAGACAGAATGATTACCGAATCTTTGTTCTCTGAATCAGCTCCCGACTAGCGTTAAAAGAAAGCTACACGTTCGACTTCAAAGATGTGTAAAACTCTACTGTCACCCTAAACAAAAATGCAAGCTAATAACAGTAATAATAATAATAATTCACTCTATTCCAAACAATTTGTGGTACAGTTTGAAATTCTGAGCATGATATATTGCAACAATAACAAAATATATGTATGTTTATACTCCTTTACAACATTTCGAATTGTTTTATTATCGGAATTTAAGTAGTATAAAGGATATTGAAAAGGAGAAAATTTTACATTGTTGGTTAAATTATTGATAATAGAACTATGAACACCAGATGTCAGAAGCTGTATTATTATTTTGATACTATGGTTAGCAATAATTTATGGCTGGAACATAGTACAGTAAGTAATACTGTATCAGTGTATAGCATTTCATATAGACGAATCTAATATGAAATCGTGAATGTTCTGTTGGACAATCCGTAGCTACTCGAAATATAAAAGCCATTATGGGAAGAGCTCTTCAGCAGACCCCGTAAACCATGCTGAGAGTTAGGGTGTACTAAATAACCTTCTGACGTAATAAGTTTGACATTATGCTTTACAATACGAAGTGCAGGGGACATATCTATCCTAGCTAAGTTTGCGAGAATAGTAAGAATAGTAAATACAGACTTTACATGACAGTCATTTTCGTTCAGTTTTTATATACTGGGAATGCAAGTCGATCATGTTAAAAGTATAGGTCACGCCGGTTACGTCACTCAGATTAGTTGTTGAAGTGGCTCCCATCTACCTTAAAGTTTTGAGCTAGAACAACCTATTAATATCAAACCAGAAAGTCACCAACATTATTCTGAAATGTGACAAATCACCTGCATAAAAGTGATGTGTAACAGTTCGGAAAATAACCTTAAACTATCTGTTGAGTTGTATGATTCAGTAAGAGTTCGCTGCATCAGTAAAACTTTGTTTCGTATTTCATGCCTTATCTTGATATGCATCAGGCAATAAACGTTTGTGAGAACTCTTTTTTTGATGTCAGCTAGTACTAAATTTAAAGCAACATTTACGCTAGCCCTTTCAGATGTTTATGAATACTAACCTCTTGACAAATGATTAGAATCTGTGTGGTATACTCATTATTAATCACGAAACGATGGCTATTTAGGACCACGCCGTATACACTGAAATAAATATATTGGTTGAAAGATGAAAGCTTTGTTATCACTGAGGTGGACAGCAGTAACAACAATAAGTCTAATTCAGTTTAAATACAGTCTTCACAATGTCTAAAGTATTCTTTTACTATGGGTTATATTATTTAAAAAACATCAACTAGCAATCTCAGTCAATCAGTATATTTAAATTATGTGATAATGAATAACTTGGGTAAATTCAAAGGTACTCCTTAGAAGGGTTATATCATACTGTCAGCTGAATTTATTTCAAGGTAGATACTAATTTGTGATTAATCTTTGATAATTATTGTATAATATTAGCATGGAAAATTGTCTAAATAGTCACAATTATCTTCAGTATCGCTTTAAGTTTACTTTCATACTCTATATATGTTCTGTGTTGTAGAAATACACAAATAAATAGTGTAATCGATGCAGATAATCGTTGCCTAGTGCAAGCTAGAAAAACAAATTGTTTGACCAATCATAAATCTCACTACGTTTTGGAGTACAAATCAACAAATTTGATTCAAGAATATTTCTTATTACGTTTATCATTCTTAGAACCATTATCATTCATACAACAGAATATAATTGAATGCTCTCATAAACAGAGTCCTTAAGAAACAGCTTTTATTTATTTAAATAAGTAAGTTAAAAGCAATTTATTGTAGATATTAATCATCTGTTAATGCTTGTTTTATCCCATCGTTGACTGAACTGATGGGTTAATACAAGCAACAACATAAAAACTATTCCCATATTACAAGAAATGTCCACTGGTCTAGTGAATAACGCTCTGGTGTTTGAAGAGATCAGTCCTGCGTTCGAGTCTTAGTGGGAACGAAATCACATACTGGGAGGCAGGTACACACAGCTGAAGAGTCCGAAACAGGACGAAACGCACTGATATCTATCACTGATCATAATCATATATGCGATTTTTGAGTCAAATGCTTCAATCTAGTGATTGTTAAAGTGATTTACAAGTTGAGGTTTGTGAGTACCTTACTACCAACTCTATTCTAGACTTAAGAACGAGTTTAGTTGACCTCACAAATTTTGTTTCAAACACCTTCCGTTGTTTGAAGCAACTACTCGTACTTGTATGTATTACAAATCAGAAATATCTTATATTTATGTTCATCAAATATTATTGTTTCAATGAACAATGTAGTTGTTATAACTTAGAAATTGATAAATTTCAAAATACTGGTGATGTTGTGAATCATCTCATACATAACTGTAGGTTCGAGTTGTCAGTTAATTGTCTCCCAGTCAGTTTCAGTTCTTGATGTGAATCACAAGTAATTTCCCCCTAATGAGCAATAGTTTTATTTTATTCAGCTACAAATATACTAAAGAATACTTCTTGCAAACTCCGGTATTTATTACATCAAAGTAACCACACAACTATCTACCTTAATTTACATACCTCCAGTTCCTTATATCTTTCTTTCAGGAACAGTGAAAAGTATCAGATAACTGGAACAGAAGTTAGATAACCTTCATTGTCAGTGTTTAATGAAGATCTAATAGGCCGAAATCTGGCTATCAGTCTTTCCCTCCATTCATCTAAGTTGATTTAAAAGAATGATTTTGATTCTTATCCTGTTGTGAAGTTATATGTTATTGCATACAATAGAATCTATAGACAAAACTGTTTTGTCTCAAAGATTCACTAAGATTCGTAAATCGACAAAATTTACAACAGGTGAACTAGCTGGTTTAAATTCCACTAAAATCACAGACCTGTGAAAAACCTACGTAAAGTTTCTCAAGTCTCTTTCTTATACGACAGCATTATGAAGGTTTGTGTCTTCTGTTTGTGTGATATTGCCATTATTACTCATATTATTAGTGTGTGTTTGTCTGCTACCTCAATTATTTTGTCTTCCATTCTGTTAGAAGTGTTTTGGTATATTATACGGAGAAAATTATCTATCAAAAAAGGTTCTTCAATGTTTCTTGACTAGTGTCATGCATTCTCTGCACTACTGGTTATCTTATTCTTCCGGTTACTTAATTATTACACTAACATTGCTTTACCTCGGATTGTGTAGGATCAGTTAAAGTTTGAATAATAAATTAGATATGCAGGTTAGAAACCTTTTATCTTGAACATCGTTAAAATCGTATATTACTACATCACTAGTTCTCGTTCATCACCGTATAATTTAGAATCAAGTTGGGCCATGAATACTTGTGTTTTCAGATGCTTCAAAAGTCTATCTATATTCTCACATTTTGGCAGTATAAAACTATTATTTATACATATCTGTTAAACTTTCAAAGGAGTGTTAAATGCTACACAAGCTGGGAGTTTTAGGTATCCGAGAGTATACGCGTCAAAATTAGGATATTAATATGTAACAAACAAATAAGTAGTACTTCTTTATAATGCCAGTATTCTACTTTTGTATCAAACCGTTAACTACCTCTGAGTCCAATAAATGACTTGCTTAAATTTAGAGCTTACAATTTGAAAATGTTAAATTTATAACTTACTAGTAATAAATACACTCCTCATGTCAAATGAACTCGGATTGTAATTCTGGTTAGTAAATTAGAAGACTGATCTTTCATGACAAAATGCTTTTTGTGAGGGAAAGTTCGTGATGCTTTCGACGTTTACTTCTGTAGTTTACGTGATTTAAGGACAGACGTCATTTACCAGTTTAGTAAAATTCAAAATTCAAAATTCATTCGTCATCAAGTCGAAAAGCTACAGAACTTGATTGACTCCAAAAATCAACGCGGTAACTAATGTTTGACGAATATTGGCTTCCTTATTTGATGAAACCTTTACTTACTAAAGTGAAATAAATAAACTAAACTGGCTGTTTTAGTAGTTTGCTTGATGAGATTTGGAGTCATTTCAGGATTGGGGAAACCGATTTCAAATGGATATGATAAATTTTGTGAGCATTAGATTATTTAATCAACTATCCAAGCAAAATAAGCCTTTATTTTTATGAACGAGTTAACGCACTCTAAATGTCTGTTTCCAGTCGTTAAAAAATCGTTTTTGCAAACTTTCCTAGTGTCAACTTTTACATCAATCAGTGATATCTCACCAGCAGGTCAGATACTCCAGAATTCATCATCATCTCATCTTCTTAGTCCACGTATATGAAAGCATGCTTTTCAATAAAATATGATATTACCATGACCTTAACTAGAATGTATTCTAGTAATCAAATACTTATACTGATCTCTAGTTCTTAATCATCATGTATCCAATGTTTTTCTTTTAACTAAGAGAGCTCTTTCTAAGATATTCGCCGTCTTTGAGAATCAGAACCATACTGTTATAGATAATATAATTACAGCAAGCAGGTGCATTGAAATCCTTTAGAGAGTTTTGTATGCAGAATACAACTAGAGGATAGAAGTTCATTAGATTAAGGAAATAGGCGATCACTAAAATAGGCACTGTAACTGCATATAACATCATTTTAACTCGAAAAGGAAGTAGAAACCAGGTTATTTAGGCTATTTGCTTGTTAATCACAACTTCAAAGTAGCTAAGAGTTATCGTTAGACTTTGATGCATAAATAAGTAATAATGATGCTCATCAAATGATTCACAGTAACTAAACAAGTAAAATCAATCACTAATGAGGATTATTTTGTAAGTCTTTTGTCATGATTATCTCTATTTTCAATTTATGAACTGTTGAAGGTCATTTAATGCAAATTTGTTAAAAACATGGATGATTCCCATGGATGAAGAATATTGGAATGAATGAACTGAATTTAATACACTTTAGAACACGTGATTTGATTGGTCTTCATTGCCGTTTCCTGTGTTACATACATTAAGTTGTTGGAATTTGATGATTTAGCGTTTACAAATATTTAGGCCACTGTAGTTTTACATTCAGATATTCGCAGCATAAAATGTCTGAGCGACCCCTAGACGATTTAACAACCGCAGCTAAACGACGTGACTGTGTATCAGAAAGGTTTAAAACTCAAAAATTAATTGCCATAAATGTCATTTGTTTTCGCGGTTAAAATGAACGATTGAACGTAGGTAAAAATAAGTAGGACGACATGTTCTAAGTGAATCGATTGTGCATTTATCAACTAAAAACGTTTGTTTCATGAAGCATGTCTTCATACTCAAACCTTAGTAATAATAGTGTATTTTGAGGTTAGTAGGAGCTACATTTTCAAGACAGTATTCATCATGGACTGGCATCACTGAAAACCTGCGAGTAATAGACAGGTGTTTCATACTTTTGTGTGACTCCTCAGGAGTACGCACCCACGACCCAGTCGTGGAGTGAACTCGAGACCTTCAGGTTTCACGGAGATTACCTTAGCTATTCAGCCACTCGACCAGAGTTTTATGGTCCACAGTTTCCTACTTCTATTACTTCGCGATATGGCACGACTATCCATCAAGGTCTAAATTTGTCATTCGCTTCACTTGCCACTTGTCAACCCTACCGGTAACGGTTTCTCATTAGGACTTTGATAAATTCATCTCGAAGGATGGGTATGTAATGCTAAGGAGTCTCATACTAGGACGAAACAGCTATTCAGTGCTCTCAGGTCTTGACTAGATGTCCAACTGATGTCAGTACACGATGAAAACTACCCTAACCATAATAATGATAATAATAATAACTTAAAGTCAAAGAAAAACTGTTGGAGAAGAATAACATGGTTGTCATTTCATTTTGTACCTTTGTCATCAACTGCTTACAACCCAAAATATTCAAATTTCATATAAAACACGGTTGAACATGTCTTCTGCAGTTAGATGAAGATAGTTAAAAGGAAATGACATGATTTTATGAAGAATGCAAACATGTGGATGAAGTTGACAAGACATCCAAGAGGTCTGAGCTACATATGTGATTAAACAGATAGTTCAAGAAAGTAATACAAAAAGTAACAAAAGATTACAAAAACGATTCATAAGTGGGCTGGTTAATTATAAGCAACAAACAAATTATGGAATAACATTAGTAAATTGAACTCAACTGGTGAAGCGATCGTCAAAATTCTGTACAAACGGAAAAAGTCGAGACAAAAGATATTGTTATCAGATAAGGGGAAGAGTAAAATATTAAGGTGTCACGTCAAAGAGGACTTATCACTGCTTCTTTTTGAAAAAAATTATACTGGTTTCATTCTTTTGATCGCAACCCCATAGAGGAACTTGAGAAGATTCGAAATACCTTGTTCACTGACAACGTTGAAGAGTCTCAAGGTAAATACTTCATATCTTATGTCGATAAGATACCAGAAGACTGTACTACTGTGAGCACTTTTTCTTTTGAGATGTAGACTTTTCAGTATATGTATAAGGGACATAAGGTTCGCCCTTCTCTCTAATGTCCCAATTTAACTGATACCACAGATGCATGTAAACTTGTTGACACAACTAGAGGTAGTACGAGTAGGGAAGCTGTCGATTTCTTACTGTACTAAGGAGTGTGTTGTTCTGTAGAGGTGAATCAACAGTTTTAGAATCTCATGGCATGTTAACAATAATGAGTCATTAGAATATTTGGTTATTGAGATGAATAAAGACTGGAAAGAAATAATTTGCCTTTGAGGGAGTTTGATTAGTGTTTGTTAACTATGAGATAGATAGGGTTTTTGTTTCCACTAAGAGCCGTACCCAAGGCA